GTTTCGTTTGAAAATGTTTCTATAGTTCTTTTAAAATTACTCTATATATACATGAAATGTAAATCCAATTCCGAAATTTTCAGAAAAAAATATGTAGAAGGAAAGGGAACTAGGAACTTATTACTTTGTTTATGTTGAATATATTTAATGTCAAAATAGCTGTGTGGTCATGAATTTATCTTCTGCTTTCTTCAAATTCAAGAATATATGGAAAATAATATTTAATCGCAGTCTTTAGCAATCACAATTTTAAAAAATAAATAATTCCTCTGACGATAGTAACACATTATTTGTACATTTTCCATGTCCAGAATGTTATCTCCACAAATTTGTTACTCATGAACCCGGTTTTCTTATTTACGTCCTTCTTAACAAAAGAACCCGGTTTTCTTATTTACGTCCTTCTTAATAAAAGCTACTCGACTCTACATAAAAAGTGTGTTCGACCACAAACAAAGACTGCATGCCTTGAGGGGAACTAAGATTGTTTCGAAACATTATCAATCAAAATGTGATATCATATTCAAAGAGGGAAGGGAGGGGACAACATCTAATAGCTAACACAACACCAAAAATGTACATAAAATGTTAGATTCGGCATCAATGACAACAAGTTTCTATTGCCATTTTCTTTGAATAATTTTTCATAATATATATCTTAAACTTTATCTACAGGGAGACAAATTGGATGGGTGGTTTAAGCGGGTACATTGAAAGTTGAGCAGGGTAATATGTAGATAGAGAGGGGCAATGGAAGTTATATAAACAATTATGAAACAAATTTAAACAAGCAAAATCTTGAACAAATAATCGAAACTAATGTAAACGATCAATGTCAATAATTAAAAAATATATTTTTACGATATTAATAAAAAAAAAAATAATAATAATTACATGATGGTATGGAGTTTTGTGTCCAGTCTGACTTTTCTCTAACACAAAAAACGTCCTTATATGAGATCCCTAAACAGCTTATGTCGAATATTTATGGTAAAAACCTTAAAAAATAACACCACTACTATGGGGGAGGGGGCGGGTGGTAAGTAAAATCATATGTTTGACTTCTTATATGTGGAATAATATACAACTATTCCATGGAAGAGGATATTAAAACTGCAAAATATAACTTACCATTTTGGAAAATTAGTTAACAAACTTTAGCTATAAAAATTATTTAAACTGTTATGATATAAAAATGTCATTAATATTTGAAGGAGGTGGGAAATGCTTAACTTGCTACTTCGTGATATATTACAAGGAGGATTCGGACGAAGAAAATCATGTTGCAATTTATCGTTTGAATGCATTCCTCTTTACGACGCACTTACGTTGCTTGGCGAGAAGGGGTATTCAGTATTCCCCTTGTGCCAAGAACACCTAGAATGACAATATATCCTGTACCATAGAGCGATGTACTCGTGCAGTACAAAAACTATTTAATAGAAGCAAAACCAAAAATTAATCGAAATAAAAACATATGACAATGGTTAAGGACGTTTAAATAACTTGTAAGTTTAATATATTACCTATTGCGTTTTTATGTTAATAGTTATGTACACTGGTGGCCAAAACTAAAGCAACTAAAATCGCAAAGACAATAAATTGTCCTGTAACTTTTACAAAAATAAACAAATCGTAATTATTTTTCCAATTTTAAATGAGGTCTTTAATTCACTTTTAAGAAACTAAAAATAAAAATACAAAAATAATTTTGAACGAAAAATATTATGTGGAAAACTAAAATGACCCAATTTTTGCTAGGTCAAAACTAAAGCAACTTTTTGATTTTTTATTATAAAATAATTATGAGGCATTGAATCTACAACTGATTCTTGGGTATGATTTCCCAGACGCCCCGAATTCTTTGGAAAATATTGTGCTTATTTGTTTCCGAATCTTCCTGTCTACGATACTCCAAACGTTTTCTATGGAGTTTAGGTCAGGTGATTGTGCCGTCCATGACAAAACATCGATTTTTGACTCCCGCAACCAATATTTGACAAGTTCTAATGCAAGTTTGGGATCATTGTCATGCTGAAACACCCAAATTAACCGTGATGTCCAACACATCTTTGTAAACAAACCCATCCATAACTTCCTTTATTTCATGGATAGGTCCAAGTCCATAGAAAGAAAAACAGCGCCACGCCATTTTTGACCCTCCCTCATGCTGCACTGTACCTTTGCAACACTGCTGCTTGAGTCCCTCATTTTTTGGTCTTCTCACCGTAAAATTTTTCATGTCTGAGCCTTTAATATTAAACGTAGACTCATCCCAAAATAAAATGTTTTTCCATTGAGCTGGATTCCACTTAATATTATCGTTTCCGAAAGTCTTTCCAATTTTTTCAGATATAAATGGCTTTTCTGATGGCTTACGGGCCTGCAGACTACTAGTCTACGCACTGATCTCGAGCTTATGATAGTTCTCTCACCAATCCAGTTGAACTCTTAAATGGTTGTTTTTTTTATTTCTCTCACAATTTGTTGATCAGTACGGGCTGAAGTTTTTCTCGGCCTTCATCCGTTATAGACTTTTACTACTGATCCAGTTTCATACAACCGACTTAGTATACAGAAATATTTTTGAAATCACAGAAATATTTAAGAAATATTTCTCGGAAATCATTTTCTGTGATATATTATTTTCATAGTCACTGATGATTTGCTGTTTTATTCATGTACTGTATTTGCTTCTAGCCATTTTTAAACTTTTTTGGGCAGTACTTAAAAACGAAAAGAAAAACACATGCTATTGTAAAAAACTTCTCAAAAATGATTTATGACAAGCGAAATTGTCGAAGGAAGCAAAAAGCGATAAATACAACAGTGAAAATAACTGAAATTGCAGCGGTCATATGAATGTACAATAGAGTTGCTTTTGTTTTGTCCAAGCCAAAATCGGGTTAATTGACTTTACCATACATTATTTTTTTATATAAAAATGAATTTTGGTTTTTTGTTTTAGTTTTTTAAAAAGTGAATAAAGTGCCTAATTTAAAACAAGAAAAACTTTCTCATTTTCTTAAATTTTAAAAAAGTTACAGGGCATTCATTCTACTTGTAATTTCAGTTGCTTTAGTTTTGGCCACCAGTGTATATTCATCTGATTTTTAATGAAGACTATTAAAGCTTTTTTAATACTTCCTTACAATGTGATTATATGTCTTAATATCTGGTTTGTATCTCCTCCAAAAATTGTCGAAATGTTGATTTGTGCATAATATCACTTAGGACGAAGAGAGTTTCCATTTTAATAGAAATCTTTCGGATCTCATTATTTCCTTCAAATTTGGAACAATACAGAGTATTTCGGTTTAATCCATCAAATTGGAAGAATGATTTTGTCAACATTCTTCCTAAGACATAAAGTCACTATAGCCCTCTGAAAATATTTAAAACTCAGTTGCTATGTAGATACACCGTCCATTTATTGAAACAGTAAATTAAATTATTTTCGAGAAAAATACTTTCTTGTTTATCGATTGAAATTTGTCTTCCCCAATTAAAAAAATATAAAAACTTAGACTTAGATGGGATTGGAAACGGGACAAAGGAGTTTAGCGCATTTACAAATTCATGTCTCCGACTTTATTTATTTTTAATGCCAAAGACACATTTTTCAACCAAACTATCTGTCATTTGACAAAAGTCTACAACCTTTAAAGTGCATTATTAGAAATTTGGCCTTCAATTGTAAATTTTAGGTCCATAAATTGCATATATTTTTGATCGGCCTACGATGAATTAGTCATGTCCCACAAATATGTTTCATTTAATCGAACTAAGGTCAAGTTCGAAGATGGGACATACCGATCTACAATTTGGTTGCAGGGCCCATATAACGGCCCCTTTCAAACCACATTTTTTGTACTAAATTTACTACTCTTTGAACTTTACGATACCACCATTTTGTTAAAATCTTTAAAATACTAAATATAGCATTTATATTGGGGTCTATACGAAGACGTGGAGGCAACTTTTGTCGTAAGCGATTACAATATTGAAATACGAAATTTAAAACAATTCAGGTAAATAATGTCGCTAAAATCATCAAAATACTCAGCAAGAGCTCCATGTGTGGGTAAAATCACCTAAATACCGAATATCGGGGGTATACGATAGCTTCCTATCTTAATTCGTTTTGACTGTAGCGTGATTACAACAGACGGACTGACAGGTCTAAATCGTCTAAGAATTTTATGCTGATCAAGAATATAAATACTATGTTATATCTAAAATGATTATTTCGATGATTCGATGACTCCTCCCCCCTCCATTTTATGTATTGTGGAGATTATAAAAACTATGCTATTTGGTAGGTTTTGATAAAATTTTCTAATCAAATTGGCTGGAAGGGTTCGACGCCAATGGATTTAACTTTAAGTATTCGAGAATATGTGTAAATACAAAAAATATGTCGATCCATATTTACCCATAGAATTGATCAACACACAACACGTTTTGCGTTTTGTTTCACTGTCAAACATCTTCAGTTTGATCTATAGTTTACCATGAATCGTCCTAGCGAACCAAATATCGGCTATATTTAATTAATTTTTGTTGTCTCATAATTGAAAAAAGCACAACCCTAACTTTAAATAAAAATAGGCACTTTCTCTTCCATCTTATGACTTATAGGGGCTTTTATGTTCCCCATGTATAAGGATAGATTTGGATGTCTGTATTTGTACATAATAATAAAAGTACAAAAGTTACGTATTTACAACATTCGAAGAATTCATTTGAATTAATCCTTCAAGATGCTTAGATTATTGTTAGTAGCACAAACAGCTAAACGAGTTAATCAGAAAACTGTCAAATGACTTCGAGTTAAGGGTGAGTGATAAATTGTTACAAACATAAAATAACAACAAAATACTGAATTATAAAACAAAGGATACGCACAAAAAAGTTAAATAACGAAAACGAAAACAAAAAAAACGAACATTGGAAAATATTAAGACAAACAGATGATGGAATTCATTTAAATAGCTTACCCTGGGCACAGTTATATTTATCAGTCCCCAACAGATTTTTTTCAGTCCCCATGGAATCTAATCATGTCATGTTGTAGACAGGAGGACAGTGTTGGAAATTTTGGGTGTTGCAATGGCGGTGGTGGTGGTGGTGGTGGTTGTGTGTTGATGGTGGTGGTGGTGGAGGTCGTGTAAAAATGTCGGTGCCAAGTACATTACAATGGATGTTGATATGTACGTTGTATTTGTTGTATGTAACGACAAGTTGTGTGTGTGTGTTTGTTGTGTGCATGCGAGTGTTTGTGGAAACGAAAAAAGACGAATATTAGATATATCCGTTTATTGGTGGTGGGCGGTTAACATTCAAACGGATTTTCAACGGAGAGAAAAAAATTACGATTTGGGTCAGGAAAGGTAATGGAATATTATTTTGAACATTTGACATGAGTGACGGTGGGTGGTGGCACGATGAAGGGAGCAGTGCAAGATTGTTTTTTTTTTTTTTTTGTTTTCATCATTGGGTTGTATGCAACCGACCGATCGATCACAAACACAGGCACATTCGCACCCACACATCCAGCACCAAATTCATTCGAGCGCCATGTTATTGTTATTATTATTGTTGTTGTTATTGTTGTTATGTTGACAAATAAATTATTCGATTTAATGAATCAACATTGGTTTGTCGTTTTGTTTGGTTTTCATTTCAATTTGAAATATAATTAAATATTGTTTGGCGAATTTTATTTGTTGTTTGTGTTTGTTCATTTCATTGATTGTTGTTTATTGGTTTTTGAAAAATTGTTCATATTTTGTTGTGAAATGGAAAACGTAACAAACACATAATCAAACACACAAAAAAATTAGGACAAATTTGTAATGAGAAGGAAACTCAATTTGCGATTGGATTATTGGAATCGGGAGTAAATTGAATGAAATGAAAACAAATTATTAATTATTATTGATAGGTGTAATGGGTGCAAGAGAAAAAACCAATAGTATTTGAAGTATTTTAAGAGAACAGTTAGAAATAGAGAATAGAAGAAGAAGAAGAAGAAAAAAGGAAGAGAAGAAAGTTTATTTAAAACAAATCAAAACAAATTGTAAAAATCATTTTATAGAATATTTTCACTGCCAAAGACGGCCTAGAATGGAAACACAAGATGTGAGGGAGTGACATTGGAGAGTTATAAAGGACTAGAGATAATGAATTTATTGAGACCGCGAAAAAAAAAAACGCCAGCATTTCAATCGAATTTTTAAAATGACCAAAATTTTAAATTGTAATTGACTTCATACCTTGCAGATTACAGCCAGTTCACTTTTATTTTTACATCATTGTATTGAAATATGTATGTCAACTTAAATGTCTATTTATTCAAATATACAAATATATACATATATATAATAATTTACATAATTTTACATATCTATAAAGAACCCAGCATGGATGTTACCCAAAATGAAGGGCTATGATTTTTCCTTTTTAAGCTTAATTTACAAATCTGTCTCGATGGATTTTTAGAAAACATATGCTAATGTTTATAAGCTCATAAGCTAGGTATGTATGTACAATTGCTTGATGTAATTACACAGATTTACAAGTAATGGACCTATAAAATTTGTTTGAAAATTATGCATTTTTTAATATTTATTTTTAGACTTTTTTGATAATGATACATTAAACTAGAAAAATAAATGATGTAGCGTATCTTTGGTGTCAACTAATGAAAAATCTTAACATTATTGGAATGAAAATATCTTGAAGGAGAGGTAAGAATCTTATTTAATAATTTAATAAACAAAAGTATATTTTTTTGTATATAAAATTGGAAATTCGGATTAATTGTAAATGATTATTTCATTGCAACATTTACTAGATCGTATCTTTAAAAAGGAACGTTTGTTTTATACGGACGACTCGACAAAGTCTAATGGAATCCATCACACACAAGAAAAATCAATAGAAGATCTATGGATTTGTATCTTCGTTTCCCACGACGAACTATATCGCTAGTTCATATAAATGGTGACCAAAAATAGAAGGAGTTGACAGAAGTGGATGAATTTTGGTAAAAGTACTTATTGTTGGCTTACTATATCGAAGACCAAATACTAGATAGGTAGGTAGGTCCATGGTTTCGTATAGCCCCCATATAACGGAAGCTCCCAATATTCAGTATTTTGGCGATTTAAGCTACTAGATTAGAATTGTTTCATATTTGGTATCTAGAAATGGTAATAGATTCTGCACCTTGTGGCAGAACATTATCTATATAGATCAACGTTTTCCTATAGCATCTAGAAGACCGTATCTCAAGGTATTCAATATTTTAAAGATTTAAGCCACATTTTCAACGGCAGTGTTTCCAATTTGACTGTTGATGTTCGCAATAGATAACAACCACTGTAGCAAACAATTGACTACATAGGTTCACGCTTTTCTATAGACCTACATAACGGTACCTCCCGATATTCGGTATTCCTATGATTTTAACCACTTTTTCTAATTTATTTTTTTTAAATTCTATACTTATATTCTGTAATGGGATCCATATGTGGTGACAGAACACGCTCAAGATTTGGTATATCTTCATTTAACATTCTCGCCCCATTAAAATTTCTGAAGTTTTTAAAGAATTCTTCAATCGTGTTTGCTGGGATTTCCAGTTTAAAATGAAGGCCATTTGAATACCGAATCCGAATACTTTTATTTTCAATGGTTTTCTTCATCTATTGGGATGGGTGCTGGTGCTCGGCCCGGCCGAACTTAACTTTTACTTTTTACGATCAAACAAGCTCACCTATCCAACGGTGTTTGGTTCTGGCTGAACTTTTCGTATAATCAATATACATTAGCGACCTCTTAACCTAGAGTTACCAAGTTCCTAGATCATAAAAATGTTCTATGTAATTGTAATTTTAACAGCTGTTGAATGAGTGGCTTAGAAATGACAGCAGTCTGAAGTTGGTTGCTGTTTTATCATCTCACCCTGCATATAGGCCCACACTTTCCCCGATTTTTTAAATATTTTGTAGAATAAGTATAACCTTCAAAGATACAAATTCTAAATGAAATACATCGTACCGAGCCAATCATTTAAATTTGTTTCTTCTCTTTATCGTTTAGGACAATATTTTTTACAATTTGAAGACATTTCCATTATGTCCTCAACAAATTTTGTAAGTGTAGATATAATATATGACCTATTCCAATCTGTTTGTAAGTTTTATGAAGTGGTCACTGAAAATGATAGATAACATGTCCGTCAGCAAACCTCAACAGCCTGCACCTTTATACATTTAAAGTACAATAAATAAAAACGATATACACTTTATACAAAAATTTACCCACTCTACAAATTAGAAAATTTGGTTTACAAAAGTAATAAAATAAGTACAACCACCATATGGTCAGCATTTACACGCAATTAAAAAGCCTATTACATCCGAAGAAAGCTTACTATTTACATTTGTAGCGACCGATGCTTTAAATTTTTATATAGCTCATCATAATATGCTTGATTAATTTTAAACAAAAAATAGCGATCAACTACAATAGTCGAATTTAAATCCTCATATAGTAAAAAATACTTGACGTGTGAATACCAAAATTCAGATTTCTTCTTAGTGGTATCTATCAATTCCCGTCAATAATTTTTTATTGCAAGGCACTTGGTTTTGATCATTCTTGGCCACGGTCGTGACACTGTGCGACGCGCAGATTCTCAAAAAAGAGATTTATACAGGGAAGGATTCTGTTATTTACAAATTTTGCTCCGACATTCATATTTGACATTTCGGGTTCGGAGTAGACATAATCACTCCCTGCAAAAATTAGTTCATTATTAATTTCAGAAGGTACCTGATTACATTCTATTTTAGGGAGGGTTATATTTGCCCAGAAATTTTTATGTTAAATTACAGAAGGTTATCTGATTTTCAGAATTTCGCAAGTCTTGTCATAATTTCCAACTAAATCATATGTAATCTAATATTTAAAAAATGTAAAGTAGATCCACAATTTGGTATAGATCCCATATAACGTTACCTCCTAGTTTTCGGTGTTTTGAAGGTTTCAGACACAGTTCTCCAACAAACAAATTTATTTGGCATTTAGTTTTCACAGTGAATAGAAACTCCAGAAATTGGTAATATACGATCATAATTTTAACATAGACCCGCAGTAGTACAGAGGATGAGATCTTAAACAACAGGTATACAAATGATTGGAAAATGTATCTGTCAGCCATATCACCCTTCTGGTGCCTCCTAAAATTTCGAAATTATCAGTTGGTTTTGCCGAAATATGTATACCTTAGCTTTCGCTATGATTGTTCAAACTGTTGGTGAAGGTTCCAAAAGAGTGGCCAAATATTGTCCATTTCGTATCTGACCTAAGTCTGTTGGTAATAATACAACTTGAGATTTTCGTAAGGTACGATATATAGCGGACCGAAGTATTCCAATTCTTTTAATGCTGATAAAAAATTGGTATGTGCTAAATTTAAAGAAAATTAAACATTTATTTGTACTAGAAGGAGTGTGCCGATAAATTCCATATTCATATCAGATCTCTGGTTGAGAAAAATATTTAGACATACCAAGTTTGAAAAGATGCGTTGACTTTTTTCGCAAGATATGAGAGATATAAATACTGAAAATTGTGACCCTTTGTGGTCAAGTTACCAAAAGGGGTGGGCCGATATCTCTCGTCTTCACACCAGGTCTTGTTTTAGTATAAATATTGGAATGTGTGTAATTTATAAGGAATCAGGTACTTATTTCGCATTTTATGAGAGATATAATTATTCAAACATTTGACCCCATTATAGATAAAGTACCAGAAGGAGTGGACCGATGTATCCCATCTTCACTCCAGCTTTTTGTGAGTAGAAATATTTGGATGTGTGAAATTTGCGTTTTATGAGGTTTATTACAACCAAAAATGTTCATCCTTGGATTAAAGGATTGAACCTATATATCCTATTTTCTCACTAGATCATGTGTTTTTATAAATATTGAGTTGTGTAACATTTGAAGAGAGTGGGTTGCTTATTGCGCTTTTATGAGCGTTT